AAGTTCCCTATGGTTGTGGCAATCAGTAAGTTCCATAATGTGGTAGTTATACATTGTCAAATTCTTATGTTTTATGTTAAATATGTTTAGTTGAAGATAAACGTATCATTTCGATGTTATACTTCAAATTTTGGTAGAATCTATTATTTTCTTCCATTATTAAATTTTGGTACCTAATACAACACAAATCACTTTTGCATAGGAGCATACATTGATGTACCATTGACATCAACCATACCCATTCAAGGTGACAATGATGTTAATGCAAATATGCAACAATCGACATCTGTTTGAGTGTCTACTGCATTTACTAGGACTCCATTCACAAGGGATGTTAAATCAAGCAACATTAGATACATTGTAAGAATTAACTAGGAAAATAGTCACATATTCTCAAGGATAACATAACAGTTGTTTTAAGTAGTTAATGATGTGATAGTACTTTTAGATGTATTTATTTCACTATAAAAACGTATCACGATAGTAGTTTTGTGTAGCTTTTTACTTTAAAATGTTTTATAGTTTCTATTAGTGATGCAAATAATTTAGTTTGCTACTCCTAAGTGAAATTCAATGGTAACATAGTTGAATTTGTTAATTTTGCAACTATTATGCTTATGTGTGGACTATATTTATGGTCTCTAGTTTTTATCAGGGATTCAAGTGATAATGTATGTACATAATGCTGTGTATTTGAATATTTGTTACATTGAAATTTTTAGTGTATTTACTCAATTGCAATGAACGGTCGAAAATTATCGATACAATTTGTCATGACCAAGTGTCGAGGATGACAGAAACAATCCGTCGGGACTGATAGATGAACTGTCGAGCTGTCATGCAATATGTTGTCTATGGATCTGTATTTTACTTGTGAAATTGAACATATAATTGCCTGTCTACGAATGATGTGGAAATGATAATGACGTTGTAAGTTGAAAATAGTAATGTGAAAATAGTAATGTAAGTTGAGAATGTACTGGGGAATACTGCAAGTTGAAAATACCTTTATGCAAAATATGTACACTCCAATGAAATCAATAAGTTATAAACATGATAAAAAAGAATAAAGATTACGAAAACGTTAAATTAATGATTTTTTTAAAGTACAAAAAGTACTCCACCTCTAATATTGCAGTAAATAATTTAATCCAATTTTGTAATTGTTCTCTTTCTTTTCTCCATAGTAATACAATTTAACGTTAGTGGTGTTTATCATTTATGCGTCAATTGATTCCATTATTTACAATTTACAAAAAATATGTTTTGTGAGGATTAAAATTAGATTTTTTAGTCGATTGTGATAACAGTTTTTGAATCGTGTGGTTGAATTATTTTTAACAGTAGTAGAGTTTGATAATGACAACATAAAGAGCAATAATGGCCGCAAACGATAATGACAACAAAACTATAATATAACTTGATAATGTACAACACAGTAGGGAGAACATTGGACATACAACGTTAACAACGACATTGAGCGGTTGTTTAAGAAACTTGTATTACATTGGAAGTTGAACAAACTTTCCCCTATACGACATGATGAATCTCAAGTGAAGACTCATACCTGAAATGTTAAGATTGCAAATGTGAGAATTTTGCACATTCCATATATCGACATTTAATACCATCAAATTGGAGCTTTCGAATATTTAGATTCATATAATAGTAAAAAGGAAAATAAAAGGTTTCAACAGTTTTCAAGTGTCGAAATTGACAGTTAAATTGTCTATCCTGATAGTGAGTAAATGTCGAGTTCGACAGTCCAAATGTCTAACCTGACGGTTTCGACGACACTACTCAATAGTTGACTTGCCAAAATTTCGAGGAAGTTTGAAAACCATGTATTTGGTTCTTTGGAAGAAATTGTTGAAAACATTAATGGTGATAATCAATTCTCAACTACAATATCATAATATATTCCCAAAAATAAATAAGGAATGACTCAATGTTTCATTAAATATGAAATCTTTCACATTTTTCTAGAGGATGTTGATATTTTTTCCCTTTGAAAAGTATATAAAAAATAAAACACATTAATGAATAAGACATTCAAAAAGTTCAATTAAATATAATCATGTTATATTAAACATCTAAAATAGTAAACTATGAGATGAAAATATAAATAATTTTTAGTAGCTCACATTTGAGATTGATCAATAGATTTTCTTTGTTGATGATAGAATGAAAATGAAGAAGAAGAAGATAGAGTTTGTGTTCATACATGTTTTGTGTGTGTGTGTGTGTGTGTTATTTTTTTATTTTTATTTATTTTTTATTTTTTACTTTTCATCCATTTTTTTTTAACAAAAATTCATATTATACAATATAATAATCATATCTTAAATGTTTAAAATATATAAAACAAATCATCACATCACACCATTAATTACATTCAAATCAAGCATTTATTACTCCTAAAAAGGTGTCATAAAGGGTAAAATGGACATTTTGCATAAAAAAGTGACAATTTTGGAAGAAATTGGTGCAAATGAAATTTTTTTATGCATTTTCAATTTTAGTGATATTTATGTAAATTCCCCAAAATATAATTACAGTTATGAAAATTTGTACTTTTTTTTCAAACTTGACCCACTAATCTTACGAGTGATCCTTACTTGATGTCTTAGCTAGATCGGTGTTTTAGTTGGATTTCAAAACTGTGACTATAATTATTTATTGCCTCTTAATTAAATTGGAAGAATTATTGTAATTATTTAATAATGTTTTAAATCTCGGTCCAGGCATTGAACTTAAAAAAAGGATAAATGATTGAGGGTCAAAATGTTCATTCGGGATTTGATTGGAGGTAATAAATAAATAAATAAATAAATAAAAATTTATAAACATTTTAATTTTAATTTGACAACAATATATAATTAAATTTTCACATCACCGATTCAAAATAAACACAAGTGTGTCAAATACATGTTTTTTAATATAAAACTTAATAGTTTGTAATTTGTTGATCACTTAAAAATTTATTCCAATTTTATTAAATAATTTGTGAGATGAAAAATAAAAATTGTTCCAACAATCTATAGAAAATTGAGTAATTTGTAAAAAAAAATAAAAAATTAGAGAATGCTAGAGTTGGAATTTATTGAGATTGAAAAATTAACATAAGAAATCTTGGTGGTATATTGATGTAAAAAATTAATAATAATAATAATAATAATAATAATAATAATAATAATAATAAATTTCATGTGATAAATATGAAGGTTATTATTTTGTGATGTTAGGGAAAATTGATATAATTAAATATTTTAGGCTATACGATATGACAATAAATGACAAGGTTATATAATTATTACATGATATGGTGAATAACAAGTAAATGAATGTTATAGTTGTTCTATAGCGACATAATGAGATGATATATTTGGGTTATTAAGTTAATTGGTTTTGCCAAGATCATTTGTTGGATTATTATGTTATATTATATATACAATTTGGAAGCTTTGAGCCAAATTTGACGTAAAGGTGAATTTAATGAAGTTTTAGCAGTGTAAATTTTGAGTTATTTTTTTTATGTATTTTTGGATTTCGCGGATAAAGTATTCCATTCTTCTCGAGATCTATACGTTATAGAACATATGGATGATATGTGGATAGTTTAATGTCTAAGACGATCATCAAATTTAAATTTTATTCAATTGTGGAACAATATCTTTAGGTTATATTATTAATTGAAGGTTTTCGTGTGATATACAAGAAAGCTTATGCATTGGTGCTAGACTAGTAGCCTCTTTATATGGAATAAGAGTATAGAATTGTCATTGATTAAATGTTATAATTGTCTCTTCATAGGAAGAAAGAGCACCAAAATTGTGTGGGTTTAGAAATATAAAAGTTTTGCCATTAGATAAAATTCTGAGGAAATATTTACTCTTGTATCTAGAGTTGATGAGGGTTTGATTTATGATAATGAATTATGTTAAGGTTTAGAATGTGTTTTGAAGTAAAATGATGAATTATGGATTATACGATAGATTATTGAAGAGGCATGATTAAACCATGATTTATAGTTGGGTATATTGAGGTTGAATTTAAAAATTTTAGTGTTATCACATTGCGAGAAACACCGATACTTATTTATTATCGAAGTTTAGAGTATATTTTATTCGAAGGGGTTGAAATTGAAGTTGTGTATATATTATCATTGGATGATATGGAATTAAAGGAAAAGAACACCAAATTGAGATATCTCAATTGTTTTGTTTGGGGGGATTCCAAATACACGGAATGAAGACAAAATAGTACTTAAATCATTGTGGATAGATTGATAAAGGTTACAAGATTCTTTTTAAAGAATAGTCAGTTAATGAGATACATTAATAATATATGTATAGATAAGGAAGTGATTTAAATGGTTCAAGAGTATCCATCTTTGGTTTTGTCATATGGAGTTAGAGAACTAAATTGAATTGTGTAGTTTTTTTTAATAGAATGCCGGAGACTATGAAGACGAGTTTAGAATATATGCTATCAACACATGTGTTGCTATTTTAAGGGGGCTAAGATACTTATTCATTGAGATAAATGTTAGAAAAGAAGTTATTAAGGTGGGCTGGAGAAATCATTCTAGAGAAGGCATTATGGAAGATTAAATTTGTGCGACATATATTTATTGGTTTGAATCCTAACTGGATGAATTTTGAGGACGAAATTCTTTGAAGGGGTAAAATTGTTACACCCCATTCATTATAGTCAAAGTCAATAAATTATTCAGTCAAATTCTTGGTCAAATAGGGACTTAAATGTAGTAAATCATTTTATTGGGACTTGGATTGATCAAATTATTTTATTGGGGTCCATTTTACAAATTTACAATACTTGAGGTTATAACATGGACATCATTTAAAATTTAGAATTTAATTTACAAGTATGGAAGTTTAATGCCTAAATGTTATGCTTAATTGAAGAAGGGGGATTTTCTTTGCAAATTTTAGTTGTGGCCCATTTAAAAACCACTTGTTCATTTCATTACACATAGAAAAACATATGCAAGAATCTGGAAACTGGAAACGGGGCAGAAGCTGGGAGAATTCGAGAAAGAGAGGGAGAAAGAGAGAAAAAGGAAAAAAGAAGGAAATGGAAGAGGCTGATGATTTTTGTAAGTTTGGGTTCTTCATTTCTTCAGCTTATCACTTTTTTTAGAGAGGTAAGTTAATTAAATTTCTAGGGTTTATGGAACATTCATTTATATTCGAAGTTTAGCAAGAATTAGAGATTATTATTATGTTTTTGAGGTATTAAACAAGAATATATCAAAGGAATGTATATTTGAAAATTTGTGATAAAGATAATGGAATTTTGAAGGGGTTTGTGAGATAAGTGTTTACTCTTTGATTTTCTTGTGATTATATAATACTGATCACTTAAATTAGGGATTTGAGATTGGAATTTCCCATTTTTTTAAAAGTAATTTTCGGGTTACTGTAGTATAGGTGCTGTTTCTGATAGTGTGCACAGAATGGTGCCACTTCTGTCAATAGTTTTGGTGTCAAATATCAATATTGAGAAATTGGTGTCACATTTCAATATTCTGGAATTTTAGTGCTGTCTTTGTCAAACCTTTGATTTTCTCATTTTAAAGGCTTGAATGAAGTTTTATGACAAGTATTGAGATTTATGTATTGGAATAAATTATGCATAGGGGTTTTATATGTATAAGTTATTGATTTTAAGGAAGTGAGAGTAATTTAATGGATTTAATAATGCATGGTATTTAGTTGATAAATCATTAAAGAGAAGAAAGTTAGAGAATTGGAAATGTAAGAGTAAGTATAGAAGTTGAGAAGTTAAGTGGTGGATTTATATTAATTTAATTGTTAGATTTTAATTCGAGAAATTATACCGTTATTTCAGGCGGGAATGTGGAAGCTTGGAAATCTTCGTCAATTTAAGCAAATTTCTATCCATAGATCTGTGAGTGGAAAAATATAAATATTTTTAAAGTATTTATAAATTAAGTTTATTGTTAAAGTATGTGCAATTATATGCAATTATGTGTTCGAATTAAATGATTTTTATGGAAATATCTTTTATTATAATATATGTGGGATTTCAAAGATTGTATACGTTACATTGTGAATTGGAATATGAGATATGATTTTGAGATCGACCAGAAGAGTACCCGTGATTATATATTTCTTCTAGTTCACTGAGGGGCCTTGACCGTGTTCTATACTACACTGAGGGGTCATGGACCGAGGATGAAGGGGTCTCGACCGTGTACATCTAGTTCACTGAGGGGCCCTGGTCGTGTTCTAGAATTGATTTTGAGAGGTCTTTGAGATCGACTTTCGTTCACGGAGGAGCTAAAGGTCTGTGGCGAAAGTTCTTTACCCGAAAGGCGGATTACATATTTCAATCAGAGGGTATATTTTTGGTGGATTTTTCAGTACGTTTGATGTGATGAGATTATAGTATGGTTATCAGCTAATGTCTATATCATGATTTTGAGATGATATTTTACGACCTTATGTGAATATTTCACTTTTTGGTTATAATTATATGATGTTATCTTCTAAATTATTAAATGATATGAACTTCATTTTCGATAGAAATGTAAAATTGAAAAAGTATAATTATTTTCGAACTGCTCCACTCACTGAGTTATCAACTCATATATTTTTCTATAATTTTTCCTACAGGTGAAAATTGATTTTTTTTAGTTGGAAGAGCCTAATGATTTCGGAATAAGAGCCACACGACATGTTGAATATTATAACTCATATTGATGAAGCACGAAGTAAAAATTTTGGGCCCATCGCATTATGTTTTTATAAATATTTGATTTTGTTGCATTTTTTTTGAAATAACTCATAGTTAGCCTTGATGATAGATTTGACATCGAGTGAGCATCTATCATCGGCGCACATCACGTTTCGGGTCCACTAGGGTGATTCGGGACGGGTCGTGTCACTTTTTAACTACACATTCTCCAAAAAATTAATATTTCAAAATGAATTCCTCAAAATCTCATTAAAATGGTGCCCAAACAAGAGTTGAAGTTTATCATTTCCACATAAGAGGTGTGTCCATTGAAGATATGAAGAAATGGATATAAAAGAGCTCCATGGTTGGAAAAATGGGAAAATGGAATGCGAATATCTAATGTTACCTTTTCATTATTTATCTATTATTATTTTTCAAAAAATATGTTTTGGGAATGACCAAATCTGTAAAATTTCACAAGCTTTCGGTCAATTGGTCGGTTGCCTGTTAATTCACCGTTTCCTATTATGTGCTTACTATTTTTGTCTTTTTTTAAGAATCGGACCGAACTTGTCAATTTTTTCAATTGAACCGATCAATCGATCCAATTTTAAGTAGATGTATTCAATTAAGACTTTTGAAAATTTCATGGATTTTTTTAAGTAATGATTTTTGTGAATTTCGTGAACTTTTTTGGATTTATATGGAATTAAAGGAAGTCTTTTGAAGACTTATATAGACTTTCATTTTAAAATTTTTATAAATTTTTGTAGAATTTAAAAAAGGGAAAAACACATAACTACTACATTATAAAAACATATTTCACAATTTACAAACTCTCTAAAAACTTTCATTAAACAATAGATAAATTAAAAATAGAAAAATATATAATTAGATAATATAATATACTCTAAATTTGGATTAAAAAAAATACTAATTTCCTACAAATTAGTTAATATACCATATTTAAAGATATTTATCAATTTCCTCGCATTATCAAAGACTATTTTCTCTCTACACAAAGAAATCACCGAAACACTCTCCAAAATCATGAAAATTTCACCCTCATTCCACAATTTCGAGTTACAATTAATTAATAAAGTCACAATCCCGTCGACATATGATTTTCATTGTTCTAGAGAAGTCGAAGCTCGGATATGGAGGAATTGGATTTTCCCTACGTAAAAATTGAAGTTTTGTGATCGTGAAAACTCTACAAAATAAATTTTAACGCTAATCTTCGATTTCAAGCTGTAATAAATCAATAACGTCACAATCTCGCTGACATACTTCTAATTTTCATTGTTTTGGAGAAGTTGAAACTCGACTATAGAAGAATTAAATCAACCAAAGCAAAAAATCGAAGTTCTGTGTTCTGATTTTGAAGGTAAGCTTATAATAACTTAATATAAGCTTATGATTTTGAAGGCATTGAAGTTTTTGAATCTAATGAAACATTTACCTAATCATGATCAAAGATTTCTCCCTATTAAAAATAAGCTATATTTTGTCCAGTGTGTGACGTGTGTTTTCTCATTAACCATTAATAGTATGTAATTTTTATTTTCAATTTATGGTTATGAACATGTTGATTTGTAGTCATCTATGATTGTTTATGTGATTCATCACATTAATACATGTTTCTGTTAACTGTGACGATTAAGTTAAATAAATTGTGACATATATATTAATGTCTTGACAGTCCATAAATAAAATTAGTTTAATCTGTTATTAATGTCACTGCATTGAAAATTAACTCTCTATGACCCTATATTTGTTGATCGTATGTAAATTTATTTAAATTGATTTATCTGTGACTTCTTCATTTGTGGCCTATAGTGATCAATGTCATTGTATTTGAATGTTTCTTGATTTTAATGCATAAAGTGTGACATGCTGTTATCCGTGTATGGTCAAGGATGGCAATTTTGCACGTTTGCCTATTATACAATAGTCATATGTCACTCATACTAGTGAATGATATATGCAAGTATGATGATTTGGTTGAGCTTGTTATTTCAGAATTGAGGTTTAATCATGCAGAAGTAGCTGCGAGATTAACATATTCTTTGAATTTTACTTTACCTCCAGTTCGGATACTAAGCAATAATAATGTCTTAACGTATTTGAGGCTAAAATCTTTGGATGGGATTGTATCGAATTATCCTATTACGGTTGTGTTATCACTATAGATTCATGGCAGTCAACATGTGCATTGCAATGCCTTGATTCGTTGACTACATCTGTTGAGTCATCAGCTAATGTATTTTCTTTACAACAAATAGCTCAGGATATTTATGACTTAGTTATGACTGTTGAGAAAGGAAACATTAAAGAAGATGTCACATTGGTATCTGAAGCATATGCTAGAGAAGTAGTAGAGGGAAATGTTTTTCGCAACAAGGAAATACTTAAAATGAGCTTGGCTTTCTATGCTATACAAAACAAATTTGAATATAAGTTATTGAGATCGGACAAGAATGAGTATGTGATAAAGTATTCACATGACGATTACAAGTGGATATTTAGATCTTCAGGCTTGGGAAAAACGAAAATATTTAAGATCAGGGAAATTTGTAATGGTCACACATGCTCGACTAACATTGTTTTAAGATCTCATCGACAAGCATCTAACTCAATGATGTCAAACTGCATCAGGTTCAAATGCACTTCTTCACGTACAATATACACTCCTAAAGATATCTCGAATGACATGTTACAAAAATATGGAGTATTGGTGAATTACATGAATGCATGGAGGTCATGTAAACAGACATTAAAATTGATTATAGCTGATCCAAAGACATCGTTTTAGTTGCTACCATCTTATTTCTTTATGCTAGAGCGTATGAATATGGGGATAATCACAAGAATAGAAACAGATAATTTGGATAAATTTAACTATTGTTTTATGGCTTTGGATGCATCGATTGGTAGTTAGAAATATTATAGGCCAGTAATTGTAGTTGATGATACATATTTACATAATTATTACGAGGGTATACTCGTTACAGCTTGTATGCAAGATGCAAACAACATCTTATACTAGCTTTTGGGATTGGGGACAATGAAAATGATAAGTCATGAAGATGATTTCTTGAGATGTTGAAGAGGGCAAATGGATCAAGAGATGGATTATGTATAGTATCGGATAGACACAATAGCATAAGAAATGCCATTGAATTCGTATGTCTAGAGATAATGCACGGATTTGTTCGTATCATTTGCTTAAAAATTTGAAGACCCATTACGTAAAATCAGGTCACAATATCACACATACATTCAATGCTATTGTACGAGTGTATACAGTTGATGAATTTGAATATCAAATACAACAATTGGACTTAGTCAATAAAGAGATCAGAGGATATCTCGTATGTGACTGTCTATAACTTATATTGTTATTGCCTGTGACTTGTTCTGTAATATTATTTAGTGTGACTATCCGTGACCATACTTGTTTAACGTCTAAACTATATTTAATTTATTATGACATGTTACATTATTTTATTATAATATAGATGAACTAAATTTTTTCTGTAGTTGAAAATTGGATATGAAAGATGGTCCAGATTGCACATGTCAACAAATCATACCCTACCATGATTTCGAACATAGTTGAATATGTAAATGCAGTCACAAAGGCAACCACAAATTACCGTATTAAAGTACTTCTTGAGTCATTAAGGAAAATGGTCCAATCTTGATTTGGCAAGAATAGGGACAATGCACATAGCATTTTTACAAAGCTTACAACCAAATACGAAAAGTTATTGAGAGAAATAAGCCATGATGTGCAAAATTTGTAGATAATTACAATGTTTAATACATAGAATTATGATAGTCATATTTATAACTATAGCCCTCTTAAATTCACAATACTAACTTGTTTATTTAATTTCAGATTTTCCCATCAAGTCATGCTTTGTTTGAAGTATGATATGATTTGTCATCAGACATAATTGATATAACTCAATGCACATATGGTTGTAGAATTTTTTAAGTGGATCAACTTTCATGTCTACGTGCATTAGCAGTGTTTGCAATATTGAAGATTGATGTTTATAATTTCTATTTGAATTATTACATAACGGATGCATATGTGAATACCAACAAGGAGACGGTTATGCTTGTAGGTAATAGAGTACCAGACGGTGTGAAGAGCATAACTCTGCTTGTCCCAAATCAAAAAAAGATGTTCTGGTTGTCATATTGAGACGAGGAAGAAGTCAGTGTGCAAGAGATCACAAATTGTGAAATGTAGAAGATGTGGTGAATCTGGTTACAATCATAGAACTTACATGGACCCGATGTCACTTAATTAAATCTAGCAAAAATTGAAAGCAAAGAAACAAACCAAACTATTTCACGTAGCTTATTGTAATATGTTAAACATGACAATACTCTTTATA